CTGGATTATGCAGAAAGTATGTTGAAAAACAGCTGAGGCAGTTAACAGGCAACTTCTCATCCCCTTATTCGCTAACGTTAGCAGTTTTAGGACTGGAGATATGCACATGTTAAACTTTGTTAAGGACAATACTTCTGATTGTTTTTATCTTTTTACGAGCCACTTACTGAAAGTATTGCATCCTAATTTAAGTAATTTCAAGGACTCAAGGTTATTTTATTGAAATTCACCTGTAGTTCCCTTTATTCTACTGATAAAACTAAATAAAAATTGATGAATAAGTGATAAAAATAAGAAAATATGGATATTGGTTTTTTTTATTAAGCATACATGACTCAAACGGGGGGAAACTTCCTTTCTTTAGGACTATTTTCAGCAGAAGAATAATACATATCTATTTCTATTAAGCATTCACAGCAGCCAGACACACACGTTTGACATGAAATGACTCAAAAAGTTATGCTCTGTTTTGGTCCCCATCAACTCCCGAAAACTACATCTGGCTCTTTGGCTGCCAAGTGCTCCACTATGTTCAGCAGCTAGTTGCTAACTTTGTGCGTTTGGTGCTGCAGGTAGTGTACAGTGAGTTTATTAGAACCTTTGCTATGAACAGCTGTTTGGAAATTAAGTTGACCGGAGCACGCTGAAAGATGCTAAAACACTCCATAGTTCTTCAGTCTGATAACTGTATGTGGCTTAATCGCTATGAGCTACCCCTTTCATTTTACATGTAGTCATTTTTATTATCAAAATATTTAAAAGTGCACCTTTAAAGATACTTTACAGTGCACCTACATTCAAAGGGAATTCAAGAAGTACAATAATAAAAAAGAATAATACTAATAGAATAAAAATAAACGGTTGTCTGAGCTGCAGACAGGACATGTCTCTGAACCCTGTCCCTCTGTCCGAAAATGACTTCTCATTCAGGAAACTACACACTGACAATTTTAATCCATCTTCCTCCAGCATGGACTTGACACCTATTCCTCTTGTATTCCATGTGGGCAACCTCTCTATCTATTTCTCCTTCTCCCTCCCTCTCACCTTTGCCTCACTCGCTCGCTCATAGTGACACGTGTGTCCCCTCCTGAACACCATTTCAATGTAAAAATAACATTACTGAACCTGCAGAGCTCAGTTTAATGTATTTGTTATGTAACAGTGCTTTTCACATGATACTGCAGAATCCAAACTTCTCACCCGCTTTGTGGATCAAACCCGGCATGACCGTACATACACAAGTCCCTCTCAGCATAAACGATAGCGGCTTTCTGTGACATAATCGTCAGATATTCTTGCCCTTCCGCTGCGGTTGTATTTTCTCGACCTAAGACCATCAAAGAGCTGCTGCTGCAGCCCGGAGCAGAGGGCAGCTGAAAAACTGATGCTGCTAGCATGGCACATTCATAACACTGTAAACTGTCAGGATGGCAAAAAAAATTGCCCTATATGTGTTCTATATGTGTGAATGTGAGAGTGTGAGAGAGTTAGAAACTGTCAAAACATCCATTTGTCAAAGAGCCCATGAGGTCTCAGCAATGTTTTTCTCTCTCGTTCTCACACACATACACACACAAATGTACTGTCTGAGGCACTGTGCATATCAGTCACATTGTAAATAGTGTATAAGTTAAAGAAAAGCTTCAGATTCTTTCAAGTTTCCAAACTGAATATGCCATATGAATGTTTAAATAGTTATCAGTTAGTTCAGCCAAAGTTAAAGCTGCACTAATCAATATTATTTAATAAGTAATAATCAGTATGTTATATGTAAAGTGTTACAAACCCAAAATGATCACCCCACCCTGCGGTTTCCCTTAGCTCTATGTATGGTTTGTCTTTCAGCGCTTTGTTTTGGTTTTCTGGCCCTCAACTTTACTGTTTTAGTGCCCTCTCTCATAAAACCTTGTTTCCAGCTGTGAGAGACTAGCTGGTGAACATAGTGGAGCATTTAGAAGATAATGAGCAAGACAGTTTTCTCGGAATAAAAACAGAGTTAAAGTGTGTCCAGTGTGTAACATTTAGGAGGATCTATTGGCAGAAATGGAATATAATATTCATAGGTATGATTAATAGGGCTGCAATAACAGTAATCTCTTTCAGTGTAGTGCATGTGAGTACTATATTGAAATACATTTACAAAAATCTATTTCTTAAATGTTTTTGCATTTTCATATGAAAGCTTGATAGTCACTTATTGTAAACAGCGATGCATCAGGTACTCTCAGGCTCTTGATCACTGCTTTAGGTTGAAGAGCACAGTAATATAGCCTTCAGTAAAAGCACTGAAAACGTTGCATTGAGCAGTGCAAACCCTCAGACATTAGTACTTCTGGTTTCCAGTCAGCGTGCATAAAAAAAACTGAAAGCAGAAGCAGGCCCACAGCAATAAAGTGTGGCTGCTGGTCTGATAGCTCTGCTGAAGAATCGTTTTGAATGCATCATTATCAAACTCGAAACATACCCGGTCTACAGTGGCACTTACTGCTCCGAGTGAATCAAACCTCCCACATGGAGGACAGCAGCTCCTTCAGTGTAGCGACTTACAAGCCGAGCTCTTTCTAATGAACACTGTGGACCCAGATAAATGACTGTCAAAACACACGCTATCGCCGTCAGTGGTCACAATGTGAGCAGTCTTAATTTGGTGTATGAGCAGTGATGTATTGTTGAGCGAGGTGCACAGCTATCTGTATACTGACTGTTTGATCTCAACATGGCAGTTGTTCCTAATGCTGGAAATGCTGCTGGTCTCAGGCAGCTTGCAGACACTACAGTATTCAGGGGTATTTGGCCAGTTATTTGCCCGTATTTCACACTATCTTACATGAAAGTGTTTTGTGCTTATGTGCTGATTGGACCACAATATTTACACTGTTTCTCTCACTGTTAAAAAAGTGGAAACAATAACATCAAAACTTGAAAAAACACTTTCACACTTTCAAAGTTATCAAATAAGAATTGGATATGTCTAAACTTAAAGGTCCAGTGTGTAACACTGAGGAGGATCTATTGTCAGAAATGGAATATAATATTCATAGCTATGTTTTCATTAATATATAATCACCTGAACATAAGAATAGTTGTGTTTTCGTTACCTTAGAATGAACTGTTTCTATCTACAGAGGGGGCGGGTCGTCTTCTAAAGAGTCTGCCATGTTTCTACAGGAGCCCAGAATGGACAAACCAAACACTGGCACAAGACAGGGGCATTTGTGTTGTTTGCCACCACTGCTAGGTGCTGCTTAATTTTACACACTGGTCCTTTAACTTAATTCATTTAGAGAAGCAGCAGAGAAGATACAGAGAAGATTTAATCAGCAAGGACTCGTGACGTCACTTGGATTTGGAAATGTTTGATACCTTTCCCCAAGCCCAAAGATTGTAAAGTATGTTATTTAAAGACTGCCATTAATTAATTAAATTCCCTTCAGTTTGAACCAGTCCGACAGCATCCAATCAAGTTGCAGCAGAGAACTATGAAGAACTAACAGAGGGCCAGCTAGACAACATGATACCAAATATCATTTTGATGTTGTTTGTTCTGTTGTTAAAATAGCATTACATTTGGTGAAGAGTGCATTGCGACTTGTTTAGGTCTCAAAGTTTAGGACTTGGGACTTGAATGCAAAGACTTGAGACTTACTTGTGACTTGCAAAACAATGACTTGGTCCCACCTCTGGAGTTAGCCCTATTAGCACCTAGAACAATTACTGTCTCTCTACTGTGATGCCAACTCTTTCACAATGGAGGACTGAACTCTCAAATGACTTGATCTTTGAAGTGTTGATATAACATCAAAGGAGAATTTTACAACGTGGCCTTTCTGTACATCTTTTGGTTTTCAGACTCCACTGTAGACTGTCTGATGAGAACAAAACATCACGCAGCCTGTTTCACCTTCCTCAGATCCTTTCCATTCAGCACAAGATGCATACCTTATGTAACCTGACCATAAAGCCACACAAATCCACTCAGCCAAACATTTCATGTGCAGGCGCTCGGTGTGAGAAATACGTCTCTCATCAAGTTAGGAGAGAATATTTCTGGCATATTGAACCAATTAAATGAAGCACCACGGGCTGAGTTTATGTAATCTAGATGTTATAACAGGAGCCTGTCAGGACGGAGGAGATCCACTTCTCACGCTGATTTTACACAGAAGGAGTCATTTCGCTCAAAACTCTAATCCAATTCTCCAGCTCTTTTCTCAGGACTTGAAAGACAATCCATCTGTTCCTGCTGGCCGACGTTCAATCGCACCGCCTTCTGTTGTGTGGGCCGGAGGTGAGTTAAATGTTTCTACCACTTCACTGACAGCCGGGGGAGTCGGGGACACGGTGGCATCTCGCAGCTATAAAGATCACGGCTGGAGTCCTAATTCATCACCCCAGGCATCATCATGTGGCATTACAATATGCTAATATACCGACGCCGTGCCCTCGCTGTCACCTCGTTCTCTCTCTTTCATCTCTCTCCCTCTTCCCTCCACCTCCCTATCCTCTTCCGTCCCCTTGGGGGCTAGGTCCCCCCCCCCCCTTCTGGGATTTGCACCTTTCTGCCAATATGTGGAGCAGGCTGAAAGCAGTGTCGCAGCTGATGTTGGAATTAGGTGAGCGTTGCATGTAGTTGTCTGGCTGCAACAGACGAACACGTAATTAGCCCGTGGCGTCAGCCTTACAACCGGATCCCATTTAATAAACGCAGGTTCCTCCTCAACTGGAAAATCAGCGCCTCACATGCCTTCAGACGGGGTAAAAATAGGAATACCTTCGCAACAGGTTTCGTTTTGTGGTGGAAATTTGTGTATTTGGGTTTTCATGGAGATACGGTACAGTAATTACCCAGCAAACATGCTGATGCTGACTTAATGTTCGACATCTGTAGTCTTCATCATTTTGGCATCAGGAGCTGTTCAAATGTGTCAAATGTGTATTTGTCCTGTGCTGTCATATGAAATGTTTGATAAATTCCTCAGTGGATATTTCCTTCTTACCCCATGCGACGGATACGTTAGCCAGCCCCAGTCTCCTGTGATCGTCGTCGTGTCCAGCAGATTCACTGCAGAGAAAGAAGAAAACAACAACAGAGCAGGTGAGTTGCAAACTTTAAATGATTGTTTTTCCCATCCATCCTGTCCTTCATCACCATCCTCTGTGTGCACTGGCACCCGACAGAGTCGCACACATACGTGCGTACACCTGTCTGACAGGTGTGACTGATGAGGCGGGACGGTCGTCACGGCAACTCTGAGCCGGGTGTCACAGCGTGTGATGTCACCTTGACCCGGTTCAGCCTCTGAGCTGGGACCTCAGTGGTCCAGACTCAGAATAGAACAGGAAACAGAACGTTTACTGTTGCGCAGCATAAAAATACCGAATGTCAGCGATGACAGGAATACAGTAAAATATCCAATAAACTGCTGATTTAATATGGAGGGTGTCAGTCAAGATTACCTGTCGCCTGTAAAGCTGTTTAAATGTGTCACAAATGTATTTGACTGTGACTCAGCAGTGCTCTGTTAAACTCCTTTTTTTATTCTTTAAAGTTATAACAGCTCAACATATACATGTCAATACATTTAACGTCAGGTAGAAAAGAACATAAAGAACATAACAACAATAGTCAGTGGGTGAAAGCAATACTATCTAGAAATGAATAAACTAGGGATTAAAAAAAGACAAGCATACAGATGGTATAATGAATTAACAAACTATTGCCAACCTGCCAAAAATTCTGAATTGTGTTCATTTACACCATCATGCATAGCCATTTCTTGTAATTGAAAATATTAAAAAGTGAACTTGCTTTAGCAATTTTAGATCTTAGTTTCTTCTTCTTGAGCTACTGTCGGGTGACAGACACATTTAATGAGAATATGTCACTACCACCTACACCTAACGTATTATTTAGTCATTTTTTAATGCTGATATGTTTTCTTAAAAAGTCCAAAATGGCTACCAGTTAGCTTTATAAGCTTAGCCTATTACTAGAGACTGAGCACATTATTGAAACAAAAGTTTTATGGTAAACACAGGCGTGTAGACAAACCACCTGAATTTGACCCCTGGAATGTTTGCGTTATCTGTATTTATTCGTACGGAACAGTCGATGGCGGCACGGACATAGCGGGCTAGCAAAGTACGCGCTGACAAACCTTGCGAGCTAGCTCAGTGTTTGTGTTCAGCTCAGCCTCGGACTGCTCTCAGAACTCACCAGAAACTCTACTTTCTTCCTCTCACTCCTTTTCTTTCATGTTCATGTTGTGGATGTCATAGGCCTACTTGTTCAACTAATGCGCCGCCTAGAGCTAATTAGCATCTGTTTGCGCCCACTCACATCCTTCCATTGACTTTGCATCTAAAATCAACCTGACATTCTGTCTGAAAACACCTTTACATCATGGATGGACAGATGAGAAAAAAGTGGATGAAGAACCTAGTGAAACACTAATTCTACCCACTGGCAGTGTCCATATCTTCCGCTCTAGCAGGTGTGTGTGTGTATGTGTGTGTCTTCCCTTCAACACCTCCAGCTAATATGATCTCTGCCCCAGGGCTGCTTGTCAGGCAGCCAAGTGATGTTCCTCACATTAGAATGAGTTTAACAAAACACTTCACACTTCTTAGCTCTCCATCTCTCATCCTTCATCTTTCTGTCTGACACTTGCTCTCCTCCTGTCTCTCCTGCATGTTAAAGCTACAATATGCAGCACTTTTGCCTTGAAGCAGAAGGTGAACTGCAAGGCCCCCTCCCCCTCAGCTGGCCAAGTTCACATCCGTATACTTTTCACTCATACTGATGTGTTTTCCGATACACACTCGTCACTGTGTGGTCACTAGAAAATGCTGCAAACTGGAAAAATATGTGTATGTTAATGTTTATTAGTCCATTGGCAAATATACCTTTTTTTTGTTTTTCTTAGTTGATGATAGTTGTGTAATAGTTTTTTATATATTTGCCTTTATTGGATGGGACAGCTGAAAATGGACAGGAAATGGGGGATGACATGCAGCAAAGGGGCACAGGTCAGACTTGGACCCACGGCCACTGCAGCAAGGGCTCAACCTCGGTACACCAGCTCTACCAGGTGAGCTATAGGGCACTCCAATAGTTGTGTAATAGTTAATAAACTTATCATGACTGGAAAGAGTGAGAAAACAGCACCACCTACAGAAAAAGCTAACTTCATCAGAACAAGAACCACCCACACAGTTTGATTGACAAGTGGCTTCTGGCATCTGCAGAAAACATCACAGTGATGAGTACTTTAAGCGTCTGCACAGCCGTGGTACACTCAGACAGGTGTTTTCACTTCTGCCTGATTGGACCTCCTCTCCTCATTGTGCCTGACTGACAGCTGACTTTCTGGTCAACTTTTATTGCACCTGTTAGGATGGCACAACAAATATGTGCACGATTCTTTTTAGGCTGCATTAATACATTTCTCCACATGGAAGTAGAAGAACTACTGCCACATTAGTCTCTGTCTTGGATAACGGGCTAACGTTTTAGCGAGCAGTTGCCTATACTTACGCATAGACATGAAGCAACATCATTCCTTCTTATTTTAGCGGTGTCTCCATCAACTCCCAATAATATGCATATCTTTAGTTGCTAAAGTATCAGCAGCTTAAGTTAACTCATTAAAATTGTCTACCTGCTGTTTGGTGCTGATGAGTGTACAGTGGGTTTATGGGAGCTTCTGCACTGAAAGAGCTGCCTGCTGCTGCTGGAAATGATGTTGATGAGAGCTGTGAGACTGAACCATACAGTGAGCATGGCATAAAACCAAAACTATGAAACAAAAAGCTATGAAGACCAGCAGCCTGTTGCACCAGCTATGTTCAAACCTAGCCTATAGTTATTATGTAAATTATTACTAGAATGTGATTTAAGCATTACTAAAATAAGAGGTTGCACCACAGAGATAAGTTACAAAATAATTCTAAGTAACAACTAAATAGTTACCCATTCCCCTAAGGGAGTGTAAATCATAAAATGTCACAGAATTATACTCACTGATGGTAAAACAGCTGTTTTTATGCCAAACCAGCATAATTTTTTTATTAATTGCAGCCATTTTGTGACACAAGTAGAAACCTGATTTATTGATAAAGATACATTTAAAAAAAAAATCTTTATTGATAAAGATATTCCAATTTTGATCGTAGCTTACTACGATGGGCTACAAAACCAAGTGGCTCATGCCAGCCAGAAAGCTTATGTGCATGGTATCCCCAAGAAATCATGGTGCAACCAAGTTTAGTAGCTGATTAAGTTACAAACTAACTAGTAGTTACTTGTTACAAAGGTCTACCACTCCCGTAGCGGCTCTATGGCGCTGTACTTAACAATGCAACCTAACACTTACCATGTTCACCACATTAGCTTAGCATGTTAGCATGCTAATATTTGCTAGTTAACACTAACCACACAGAACAGCGTCCGATGGGAGTCTCACGCCAGAGAATGTCCTTTACTACAAAATCTAATCTGGTGGCTATCCATCCAATTGTTACTTCAACCTGGACCAAAGGTTTGGACTGACCACAGCAGCTGGCTGGGAATTCTATGTTGATTCAATGTTAATGCATTAAATACTAATTAATGGAGCTTTACATAATTAAAGTTTGGTGACTTCACAAACTCCCAGCCTAGCTCTGCCCATCTTCAGCCTGAAGAAAGATTTAATTAGCCAGAATAATTGAAAACACCTGTGTGGGCTGACAGGGCTTTAACACAAATGATGTCCAAAAAAGGAGATGCAGATCACTTTATTAAAACGATACCAGGCAGTCTGGCTCTTTGGTGGCTCCAAATAGCTCCAACAGTCAGCTCTTCTGAAAATAATGAACGTCAACAGCAAGAACTCTTCGTAAACAGTAAACTGCACACAGGATGCTCATTTTCACCGACCTGGACGGGAGCCCACCAAAGAGATGAGAGTCAATCTGGGTTAATCTGGGTTGCTGCTGGTTTGGAAAGAGTTTAGTGTTTTGCTTTGAAGTGTCAATTTGTCACTTCCTGTGGGGTCAAGTGTCTACACCCACAATTCAAAGAGGCAAATAGGATGAGTGTAAAGCATGGTAATGGAGATAGAGTACTCTTGTCATCCGCAGCTCCACTTCATAATTTAGGCTAATAAGACGGGAATATTTTTCCATAAAACTCTTGCCAAGTGGAGCCTCATGATCTTCCAATTTCCGTGCGCAAAGACTGCTGCTTGCCACACACACACACACACACACACACACACACACACACAAACACACTCACGTGTTGCAATTAGCTGGTGTGTCACTCCTCCTAATTTGAGCACTGGGCCGCTGAGGAGGGCAGTGGGTCAGAACACACAGACAGATGGCAGTGCCACCGTCCTCTCATCCTTCCATCCATCCCTCCCCCATCCAACAGCCTTCTCTCCGCCTCTCCCTCCCTCAGGGCGCCGACATCCCGCCGTCTCGTATTGATGATGCGATGGCCCCTCGCACTCTAGCCAAGGTCACAAATGGATGCCGCCAATTACACTCCTCTGAGTGCTCTTCATCGGCCCACCAAAGTGACATAATGAAAGTGGCGTACTGGCGCAAGTGGATTTAATAATTCTTCAACGCACCGGGGGAATTTCCCTCTGCTATACCGTTATTATTAAAGGACGGAGGAGGAAAAAAAAGGACAAATAAATCCCCTCCCCGAATCGGAAAACATGTGAGGCGGTGCGTTATCGCCACAGTGTGAAGATCCACGAGCCGTTCCCAGTGGTATTCATTTAATTTCCACTCAAATGAGAAATCCCTCTGTCTTTGAAGGTGGGGGGAGTCATTTATCTAATATGCTCTAGCTGTCTGAATTATGACTTGTATACAAGAGATAGGGTTTAGTGGCATGTCTGTTGCCTTGCTTTAATGTGACAGGAACAGTGTGAATAAAACAGAGGACAGGCAGTAATTAGCGCTTTGTTCCCCCCCCACCTTGCACTTCTTCTCATCTTACAGGAAAACACAAGTGAAGCCCTCTCTATGTGTCTCTTTGCATTCCACCTCCACCTTCACAGACAG